AAAAAAATAAAGCGACACAATGTAATATCTACGAGATTGAGCGCGTACTGTAAAGATAATAGACTAAAGTAAATATTATAATAACCCTCTTAGCGTGAAAGACCGGCGAAAGCTTACAAAAACAGTATCCGCTGGCGTGAAACTATGTAGCGGGGACGAGCACAACAATAGTATTAGGTAGGTCCGCAAATCGAGCGACTTTCCCGACAATATACCGATTCCATTGAGACTGCCTCCTGTTCCTTTCACCCGAGAATCTCCATCGCCTCGGCTGGGACAAGCTCGTCCCCGAGGGGGCTCAAATTCTAAACAGGCGATGTCCTCGACGCGTTTCGACGCCCTATCTCCGCCCACCCACAAAAATTCGCCTCCAGAACGTTTAAATTGCGGGATTTGTGAAGTTTGCGCATAAAATGTCGAAATTAATTACTGTTTGAGGTCGCTAAAGGAATTGGTGATTTAATAACTGGATAGAAGAAACTGTCGTTCGAGAATTCCAAAAAAAGGAGGTCTGAGACAATTTTTTCATAATAATTGATGTTACTAAGATAAATTTCATTTCGATTATTACTCGAAATTTTAGAAACATGTACAAATTGTGGAAACATGCCGAATTTTGGAAACATGTCGAAATTCTTATTTTAAGTTAACCTCTAAAAAAAGAATTTTCAAATTCTGAAGTTCACATGTACCCACATAGAATAAATTTCATCAATCTAATCAATTTGTCCTATTTAAAAAAATTCATGAGAAACGTCTAAAAATCAGTCTCTTAATGTGATTTATCCCATTAATTCACGAAATTCTCGACGATTCCACACCTTGTCTCGATTGAAATCATTCTGATAGTTCTGGATTTATATTGCATCCCCGTAGAGCTAAAATCTTCTCTCTATCTCTCGATCTTACTTGACTTATTGAGAACCCCTATCTAAGAACCTTATTTTTCAATAAGCAATAAGTAATCTGTTAAATTTACTTCCTGGAAAATGTGACAAATTTGCTTTTCAAATAACGCAATTTCAAATTTTAAGATTCTTCTTTAAAACAAGTTATGATACTTTAACTAAAATTCTTCAGATTAGACTTATATTTAACCTGCCTCATAAAACTTTTATTCTAACGAATTCTATTTTTGGACGACACCGTTAAAATTCTAAATATGCCCCATAAACTCCCGAACAGATCCGTTAGGGTATCGTTTTTCCACGCGGACTTCATAAGTGACAACCGGAAATTTTTTGGACAGCTCCCACACATATCCACTTTGTCTCTATTTTAATCTCGTTCGGTGTAATCAATCATTTCCGTGCGTTTCTACAGTCCCGGTCGCGCCTTTTTTACACGGAAGGACGGTAAAAACAGTCGCTTTTAATTGCCTTGTTTTGGACGACAAAAATAAACCATTTTCCGGTGGCTTTTTGTACCGGATTCTGCACGGAATCGGATAATGTTGCCGTTTTAAGGAGGTATATCGGGATACCCTAACCTAAAAACACCATTTTTTTAAATTTATTTGCAAAATTTGACGTGATAGAGTATTTTGAGTTCAGATTCATGATCAGCGACCCCAAAAACGTGTAAGATGCCTACTTCCAGGTTCCGATGAATTTAGGTACACTTTNCGTTGCAATTTCTCTTAGTAAAAATTGACTTGCTTTAATAACGTTCTCTTCTATAATGAATGTCGTTTTGATTTTTTCTCCAGATTCCGGAAATAAGTTGGAATACTATTTTAATCTTATAATTCCAAAAAAAGTACTTGAATTCTGAGTTTTATCCTAAATTCCCGAAAAAAGGTTACCGTTTAGAGATTTTCCTCTGTAAAAATTGATTCTATGGGGAAATTCCAAAAACATATGCTGGAAATAATATTTTAATCTTATAATTCCAAAAAAGTACTTGAATTCTGAGTTTTATCCTATATTCCCGAAAAAAGGTTACCGTTTAGAGATTTTCCTCTGTAAAAATTAATTCTATCGGGAAATTCCAAAAACATATGCTGGAAATAAAATTTTAATTTAATAATTCCAACAGAGACTGTTTAAATTCTGAATTCATCCTAAAATTCCAAGAAGAAATTGATCTCCAGACATTTTTATTGGTAAAAAGTTATTCTTTCCCGAAATTCCGAAAACATGACGGAATTCACATTTTAATTTAATAACTCCAAAAAATTCTTAGTTTCATCTTAAAACTCCAAGAAAATATTGCCTTTCTCGCAATTTTCTCGGTAAAAATATTTCGAATACATATGGAATTCATATTTTAATTGAATTCATAATGGAATTCATATTTTAATTTAATAATTTCGAAAAAGAGCTTGAATCTTAAAATGCCGAAAAAGGTTGTTCTTGTCAAAAATTGATTTTTTTCCCCAAATTCCCAAAATATATGCCGAAATTCATATAATAGTTTAATAACTACAAAAAAGGGTGCTTGAATTCCGAAATTCATTCTAACACTTCCTAACAAAGATTGATTGTTCTTCGGGCATTTTTCTTTTCTCTTTCGCGAAATTCCGGAAGCATATGCAGGAATTTATATTTTAATTCAATACCCTAATTCGAAAGAGTGCTTAAATTCTAAGTAATTTATACTTGAATTTAATAATTCCAAGAATGTGTTTGAATTCTGTGGTTGACTCTAAAATTCCGAGAAAGGATTGTTCATATATTTTTCTTGGTAAAAATTTATTACTTCCCAAAGTTCCGAAATCATGTCGGAATTCACAATTTCATTCAATAATTCCAAAATGGGTACCTACTTGAATTTCAAGTTTCATCATTTATGATGAGAGAATTCCGAGAAAATATTGTCGCATAAACATTTTTCTCGGTAAAAATTAATTCTCTCCAAATTATGAAAACAAAGGTTGGAATTCAGATTTAAATTATAAAAAACAATGCTTGAATTATGAGTTTGGAATGAATGTTGGAATTTAAATTTCAATTAAAAAATTCCGAAGTCATGCTATTTAGACATTTTTCTCGAAAAACGTTAGCCCTATCTGGAAATTCCGAAAACATCAGAATTCATATATTAATTTAATAATTTCAAAAAAGTGTTTAAATTTAAGTGAATGTTTTAGTTTCTCTAAACATTTTTCTTTAACTGAATTTAACACTTCCAAAGACAAGCAAAGGTTTAATTTTCAGTTTCATCCGAAAATTCCTAGAAATGATTGTTCTTTGTAAAAACTAATTATTTCTTGAAATTATGTCGCAATTCATATATTACCTAATATATTTCAAAAAAGGGTATTTCAAGTAATCCTAAAAATTTATATTTCTTATACGTATATCGGAATTTCGAAATTTTTTTTGAATTTCAAATACAATCTAACGGTTGAGGTAAAAATTCAGACAATTTTTGAAAGGGTTTTGTATTTTTCTTTGAAATTTCTAACTTTAAACGCAATTTTCAGTCAAATTTATAGGCCTAGATCAGGATTTCGACAATATTGAAGTGGCATGATGCAAAACAAAATTTGAAACCCAATCTCGCATTACCGTGGGGAAATCCTAGCATTACAGCAAAGACTACATTTTAGGTTTAGCTTAAAATTTTTTAAGCCAACGCTATTTCACGAAAGCAAAGCTACAGATTCAACCAGAGCTCTTAGATCCCGACAACATTTTGGCTTTGTGTACGGGAGTAGACTTCACGGTTCAGGGATGCCGGTTAATAAATATACACTTATGACCGAAAGTGGATCGCGTGGGCCGACTTAATTCCCTACGAAGGAGCCTTCCAACAACGAGGATCAATCTTCGTAGGCAGCACAACCCAATATCGAATTCTGAAAGCAGTTCCATGTTGGCAACGGAGCCGCACGACCAATTATAGCGCTACTTAATACAGCAACTGTCGGAGAAAAACAACTTTATGTTAATTAAGGCAGTTTTCAAAAACAGCCATAAAATTAATTTAATTGGATATATGTTTTCCATTAACATACCAAATTAAACAACGTTCAGTAAACCAAACAATCTATTTTCACTTATAATATTATCCCGAGACGAAAACGAAAGAATGCCATGCTGATTTGATATTGCTGTCACGTTGACTTTAATTAATGCTTTGTCTGTCTCGTTTCTATGATTATTGAATATATGGTCGTGGTGTGAAAGTATTTTGGTGTGTTCGTCAGTCGAATCAATTTCATCCTCTCTCCGCGTGACGTCATTTGAGACCAGCCCAAATTGCATATTTTAAGTTAAGTAAAAAAAGTAATTTCCACATTTCCATATATGAATCGTATTTAAAAAGCCAGTTTAAGTATGTAGAGTCTAAACGTATATCTAACCTTAAATATTGTGCCAACTTTGAAGCTTTAAAGAACGTTACCTATATTGCATAAGAAAAGTGAAAGATGTGAAGATGTCTAGGCTGCAACAGCTCTGGATGATTATTAGAAAGACGGCAGACGTAATTTTCATGCCCATCCTTGGCAGGAAAGATGACTTCGGACGGGGCGGGGTTGAGCGGGACTACTGCTCTTTACCCAATTCATTTGTTTTTCGTGCCAATATCCCATGATTTCATGTGCTATCAAATGACGTCACCCCATGAGCATAAGTACACCATATACTCACACAACATATTTTCACTACAAACATCAAATTCATTTATCGCAAATGTAAAAATTTTGAATTCTTTCTCGACAATTTTAACAATATTTCGGAGCAGTTTTCGAAATAAATGTGGTTTCAACGCAGTTGCGAAATCACTTTCTCATTCTTGCACAGTAATTTTCTTGCTGGCGCTCAACAAAAACTACACTTTTGAACACAAAAATGATATTTCGCGACCTAGAATAAAAAAGAGCTATTTCTCAATAAAATTCAGCATTGCTGTTCCTCGTAGCAAGAATTCTCCTAGTTGTGCGGTAGCGGGGACGGTGTACTATTAATAAAAGTTAGTAAAAACGTTTCAGTTTAACCGTCAAAAAATCAACTGTCACATCCCCATAAACCATAAAAAGGCGTTTCACTTACCTGGCAGCACGCAACAGACCGATTGCGCCCTCGAACTGGCCGCTCCTCAACCGCTTCTGTACGTTTTTCATTGCATCTGCCCTGTAAAAAAAAATGCGTTTATTACATGAGAAATATGGCCCCGCGAGGGGTTTCGTCGGTGTTAAATAACGCGTGATAAAAAAAGTGTATTTAATTAGTATAAAAGCGTCTAGGCAGAGGGGGAGAATATGAGAAATGGGGTGGGAATATAATTGTGGTTTTTATCACACGAACGCATATGCGGCACGTCACGAGTTGTGGATTGCAGCGGTGTATCTTTCGTGTAAGTACGTGAGGTCCGCGTTTACTTCGTTCGCCACATAATGAAGGTGCGGGTAACTAGCCATTAATTTAAACTCACAGAAATTAACAAATGTAATTACACATACGGCCTAACCTTCTCCTAAACAATGCTTAGGGACCGGCGAATGTATCACTGTCAATTAAAATAAACCCTAAAGTTTGCTCCGTTAGATTAAGATCGGTTAAGTGAGCAGGCCGCAGTACACATAACCTATTAAAAATATGATATTAATACTGTTAGCACAGTTAATACTCTGAGTTCCAAAAAAAGGTACAGAACAATTTAAATTCATGCAAATTCCCGGTCATCTAAATAAAATTACCCGCCCTTTTGGTCGTACGTTGTGGTCAATGAACGGGGTTGTTTTCCATTATGTAATTTTTATGCATCCTCGCCTCGCGTTCCCGTCAAAATTAACGGGAGAGCGCCAATTATGGGCGTTGAAAAAGCAACAATAAAATAATTACCCTCGGACGCTTCTAATGAAATCGCCGGAATACGTTTTTAAAGCGGGAAAATTAAATTGTGCATGCTTCATTGCGGAGGCTAATCGCGCAAACAGGGTCGATTAGATAGGTCACTTAGAGTGTTAACGAGAGGAAAATTAATGTCATTTATTATTATTTTCTTGTAGTAGAATAGGCATGTTTGTTATATGTACGTTAAAATAGCCAATATTACAACCATATAGAGCGCTGTGTTAGTTATGTTCTATAAATATACACTTAATGAACATACCAAGCATGGCTAGCTGATTTATTTGCTATGTTCGCTGCACACAGCATAGCAAACATGTTTTATGGTATGTAACTAACTATGTTTGCCATAATCGTTAAAATAACCGATATGACGACCAAAAGACCAATATGTCAATTATGTTCGGTATACACATAACGAACATATCAAATATAGCTAGCTTACGTATGTTAATATCAGGAATAAAGCTTTGTAGCTATGTTCGCTGTACATTTTATATAGTCAATATTACAACCAAACGGAGTGGTAAGCTTGCTATGTTCGCTATACACATATACATATAATTATATAGCAAACATAGCTAGTTGTTCCATTTCGAAGCAACACAGAGCAATAAATAGCTATGTTCGGTGTACATGTTAAAACAGCCAGTATTAAGACCAATTATGTTACGTTCGCTGTATATATAAGCGCGATGATTTTTTGTTAGGACCATATAGAGCGTTATATAGCTATGTCCGCTATACAAATTAAAATAACCGATATTATGACCAAATAGAACCGTATGTTTGCTATGTTCCGTATCGTAAAAGCGAACATAAACAGCGAATAAAGCTAATGTTTTATGTTAACTTCGCTATATATATTTTAAAGTAGCCAATATTATGACCTAATTGAGCGCATGTTAGTTATATTCTCTATACACATAATGAGCATACCAAACGTGGTTAGTTATTTTATTTGCTATGTTCGCTATACACATAGCACAGCAAACATGTTCTATGCTAAAACCACAAAGACTGCTATACTAACTATCGCTAGCACAAATAATGTTTTGTAGCTATGTTCGCCGTACATTTTAAAACAGAAAATATTACGATGAAAGAAAGTGGTATGCTTATTATATTCTATATGTTCACAGTAAGGCCATAGAGAGCGCAATGTAGCTATACATGTTAAAATAGTCAACATTATTACCAAATAGCACGGATGTTCGCTATATACATAAGCGAACATAGCAAGCTAGAGCTAGTTGTTTTATGTTGATGCAACACTGAGCACTATATAACTACGCTAACTATTTTTGGTTCGTCAAAATAGCTACATTTGGTTCGTTAAAAGAGCCATAGCTACCTCGTTGTTATTATTGACATATTTTGCATAAATTTCTCGTCCTTTACATATGATTTGAATCATTTAAAATTAAAATTTGCTTCGAAATAGATGTAGCATACAATTCGTATGGCCACCAACATTAAAAAGTTTTCCCTATTTTAATAAACAAAGCGAACATAGCGCTCTCTGAGACAAGTTAAATTAATTTCTCTTCCTGAGCATACGATTAAAATCTTTAACAATCAAATACGCTTCAAAGTTGCTATAGTGTCAATTAAGTGTTCGCTATTTCAGTAATAAAGCGATCATAGCGCTGTGTTCGACCTTTTAGTATAGTGACTTAGTATTATGCTAGTTTCCCACTCTGGGCATATGACGAAGTCCTTACTAACCAGTTGTTATTAAAGAACGAAGTTTTTTAAACGAATTTATAAGACGTATGTAATGAACCGTCCGTAATTTAATTGTGTCGCCGCCGTTATTCGCCGGCGCTGCACAACCCCCCATAAATTCCGCGCAATTGGGTGTGCGCAGCGCAGGTAATAAATAATTTAAGTAATTATCCGGTACGTGGGCTCCGATTTCGCTTCCTAGTCCACTCCTGGAGTCGCACAGGCCGATAATTTAATTAGGTTGTGCTCAAATGATATTAATTACGCCCCGATTTCGTTCGGCTCAGCGGGAACAGGTCCCGCTCTCCCACACAGCCCGGAGTGTTTGACTGGTTCGCTTCCTGATTTTAATTTTTAATGAAAATATAATCAACGAATGCGCCAGACGCAGCGTCGGGAATTACGCGCGCCGGCTGAAACGGTTTCCGTGTTTCAATGCGACCGATAGTTTGCTCAATAAATATCAGAGTGGTTTCGACGAAATATGCTGAATTTGTTCAATTACGGGACACATGAATAATAAAACTTCGGTTAAACTGATAAAAAATGAATTATTAACAGCATAAAGCATACAAGCGACAAGTTTATTATATGCTCTTCTAATTTGAGTGATATTGAACCAATACGACTTTCTACGAACTATTTTTTCAGGTTAGAAGCAATTAAATTTGCCTCTGCTACATAAGGTGTTTTTAACATCGGTCATGGAAAACCTGGAGTGTAACAAATGTTCCGTCGCGACCGCTGGGCGCGGGGATAGTGCGATCGGAGTGATTATGGTGTCGTTGTGTAGGTTGGACCTTCTCTGTCGAACAAAATTGGTCTGGGCATTATACGGTTGCGGGGGTGGCAATGGGGAGATAAATAATGAACCTCCATGTTTTGGCTATTTTTATTTTGGCTCTGTTGATATTTGTGAGCTTTAAGTGAACTTAGAGTGAAGTTTTCCATCGAAAGATATAATAGAATAAGAATAGGTCCGTTTTGTACTGTTTTTAACAGGATATAGGCAACCAGGAATACAAGTCGATTTGCGCACTTAATATGTTTAAAAAAATCTCATCGATTTGGTGCATTTTGCGTTACTGATACGTTCACCAATACGACACGTTTACCAATACGACACGTTTAACTATTCCCACAACAATGTCTAATAAAAAACGTATCATTTAAAGATTACAAGGACGGCAAACCAGGTGTCTGTTTTATTCGGCAGATTAGTAAGGGAAATGTTATATTCATGAAATATCATTGTAAAAAAATGAAACGGCGTCAAATTAGCAACAAGGACGGCAGAGACAGTCGGAGACAAATTGACTCTGGTCGAATGGCCGCTGTAAATACCGACAAACGGCAAAAAACGAGGTGCGCAGCAAAACAAAGACGTGAAAGTATATAGGGGACAAAAATAGGTTTGTAATCGGGGGGCGAGCAAAAAGTCTGGAAATGTTAAAGCTCTCGTTTGAATCTGTGAGAATGTAAATAAATTCCCGTCTACTGTGAGGTGGTTTTTCCCTGTTTCGAGTTACTGTCCGTCAGTCAATTATATTCTTAAACCGTTGGCGATAAAAACGATCGATGAAGGCAAAAACAATGGTTTTTTTAGTAACTTGGGGTTCGTCCAGTCAGATAACTTCGAAGATTAGTATTAAAAAGATTAAAGTTTTATAAAAAATTTCGATGTTTAAACCGGACAGGAAAAAGTGGTGAGGGGCAATGAGAGTACTTAAATTATGACAGCGACAGAAAAATTTTAAAATACCTATTTAATAATATAGACCGATCGAAATAACTCATTTAGACGAAAAAAAAAAAAGAAAATTGTTATCTGGACTTTTATAAGTGGAAATGGTAAGGGACGAAAAAAAAAATAAATACGTGAGCAGGGATGGCGGAAGGTTGATTTGGGGGGTTGAAAAGTTGTGAAAAATTGTATCATTGGGATTTCTGGCGAAAGTTGACGTTAAACAAAAAAGTATTCAATACAAAAGTTGTAGATCATGCAAAAATCTACAACTTTTGTAGAGGTCAGTTTTTAAACAATGAGACACAGTTTTTTTGTACGTTTTTCCGTAGAATTGAATGGTGTAATCAGTTTTTGAATGTTTTAAATTTAAACAAATTATCAACAATTACTGAAAAATTCATTGTCGCAAGTTATTTTTTATTTTTTTTTGCATTTTTGAGCATGTTTTTGAATTGTGATTACAGATTTTTTTATTTCACCAAAAAGTATATGTCAAAACGAAAAAAATTATCACCGGCAGAACTCTGTACGATGATTTTCCTAAGTAGAATTTTTCTTTCAAAAATGTTTCAGACGGGAAAAAATGAATATCTCGGAAACTTCTTGATTTTTTTATCTAAAAAAATGTGTGGTTATTTAAGACACAGAAAAGTATACTTTCACCAAGTTTCGTCAAAATTAAGTTATTTTTGCGGAAATGAGAAATAAAATACGAAAAATCAGAAAAAAAAACTGTTTTTCGCATTTTTCTCGGAAGTTTTAAGGTTATCGTAAAAAATGACCTCTATAAAAGTTGTAGATTTTG